CCTCCTCCAGCGAGGGACACGGCGTCGGGTAGATCGAGCGGGTGTTGGCGTTGTCGATCTTGAAGGACATGTCCATCATCACATGCATGAGCGGGAACAGGGCGTTGTTTTCAAGCGAAGGATTGGCCTCGAGGAGAACTTTGAACATTTCGCGAGACTCGAACAGGATCGGCCAGCCCAAAGCGTTGATGATCTCAAACAGCCGGGTCTCGGAGAGGACACTGTGGTTGGGTGAGTGAGTGAGTGAGTGAGTAATCAGAGTCGGAATCCACCATCCACCATATCGCACACCACATCACACCATATCACACCACATCACACAGTCCTCACCTGTGCTCCGAGTCGCTGATGTGGAACACAAACTTGGACAGGGACTCCTCCGTGCCGGCAATCTCGGCAACCACCTTGGCAACACGGTCAACGGGATCCATGGTCAGGGTGACGGGAGTGGCGTGCGAGGGAGCAACACCGAGCTGGATGCATCCCTTGACATATCGCCAGATGTAGTCGTCCGTGTTGGACACTGGAGCAATGGAGGTGTGAAGGTGTCAGTTGGTGTCAGTTGGTGGATGAGTGGCACTTGACAATCGAGACCATCGATTCATGGCCAGTCCATGGAGCGAATGAGACATCTCCATCACACCACATCACATCACACCACATCACACCACACTCGACTCACCTCCGTACTGGCTGTCGCCGGCAATGACGGCTGGACGAGTGATGGTCACCGGCACTCCCCTCGATCGTGCCTTGTTGATCAGCTGCTCAGAGACCCACTTGGTCTGCGAATAGCCGCCAGAGATGTTCCAGGCCGAGTAGATCTTCTCCTCGAGCGGCTTGTCTGCCTTCTTGGCCATCGGGATCGTGCCGATGGTCGAGATGTAGTGCAGCGGCTTCAGGTGGTGGGTTGTGGCCAGTCTCAGGGCCGTCGTCGTGCCGAGGACGTTGGGTCCCCTGAGTCTGTCATAGTCAAACAGCCAGTGGACCTCGGCGCCGTTGTGGACAATCATGTCGGTCTCCTCGCTGATCTCCTTCCATCGCTCGTCCGAGAGTCCCCACTTGTCCTGCGACAGGTTGCCGCACAGTCCAACGAGTCGAGACTTGAGGTTGTGGTCAAGGAAGGCTCTCTGGCTCGGATCGAGGACCAGCTTCTGAGCCGTGCTGATGATGCGCTCGACAGCCTCCTGCTCGTCCTTGGCTCGGACCAGGCAGTAGATCTTGGCCCGAGGGAACTTGTGGGCCAGCTCAAAGACCAGGAAGGCACCGAGGAAGCCAGTGGCACCGGTCAGAACGATGCCGCGAGGGTCCTTGGGATAGACAAACGGAGGGAGACCCTCGGCCGTCACACTCGCATCGTCGAGCTTGGCGGCCTCGGCAGCCAGATGGACGGTCGGGGGAATCATCGGTTTGTCGTCGAGGATGTCGACGACCAGCTGGGCGACATCAGTCGGTGTCATTCCGTTCGACAGGAGGATCAGTGGCGAGATCTCGACATTGAGCTCGTCCTTGATGGCGAGGGCCAGACGACCGACACTCAGCGAGTCAAAGCCGACGCCGCCGATATAGTAGTTGCGACCATCGAGGGCGGGGTTGTCGAGGATCTGGCTGCCGAGCGCCGAGATCTTGACGGCGGTGCGGGACAGGGGAGTGTTGGCGAGTTTCAAACGAGGGTACTCGACCGACTTGCCGAACTGATCGACATTCTCGGCGATGCGCCTGAGCTTCTTGAGGTCGCGCTTGCCCGAGTCGTTGAAGGGGAACTCGTCGAGCTCGAAGCAGTTGTGGATCGGGAACTTGGCGACGTTCGTCAGCGCAAACATGTCCTCGGTCAGCTGCAGAAGCTCGGCAGGAGTGGGGTTGACCTGAGAGCCGCTTTTGCGGACAAAGAGCATCACGATCTTCTTCTTGGAGGTTTGGATGAAGGCACAGTCCGAGATGATCTTGGACATGTTTTCGTTGGCCAGCTCCTCGAGGGCGTTGAGGTCGACATAGACGCCGTTGACCTTGATCTTCTGGTCGAATCTGGAGTGATGGTGTGGAGTGAGGGAATGGATGGCGTGAGTACCCGGGATACAGTAGTGGGATGTGTCGTCAGGATGTCAGATGTGCACTCGCCATCAATGAGATGCAACACCCGGCCATCGACTCACCTTCCAATCACAGTGAACTCTTTCTCGCCAACCATCTCGACCCAGTCCATGGTGCAGACACGGGGCGAGCCATCCTCGAGGAAGCCGAAGGGTGCGAGTTTGTTGTTTGGATCGGCGTTGACAAAGTTGGGGTGGTTCTTGATGGGATGGTCCTTGTCGACGGCAAAGCCAAGCACGCCGCTCTTGGAGACACTCTGGTCGATAATGTTGCCCTCCTCGTCAAAGAGGAGACAGTGCACACCAGGCTTAGCCAGCTTGTAGACGAGCTCTGTGGGGGGGACGTCACCACCGGCGGGAAGTCGGAAAAATGCCGCCGCTCCAACCAAACCGGACTAGCGGCGATAGTAAGTATTCAAAACCATACTCATGGAAGTGCCAGAGCGGCAGTAACTGTACCTCACTGGATGTGTATATCGATTGAAGTTCCGCGTTGGGACAGAGTCTCCTTGTTTCGATAATCACGGCTGGCGGAACCATTTCAGATCCCACAACGATTCTCCTCAAGCCTTCCCACTTGACGTCTTGATTCAAAGAGAGCCCGACTTCCACCACCATCTTCATAAGAGATGGAGTCTGCCGAACAATATCAATCTTGAGCGTTTGAGCGCATAATCGGTCATTTGAATCACCCGACTCACCATGAACACGAAAAAGAGTCCATCGTTCAGAAGGTTGATTATGCTCTTGACTTTTTCGACGGGGTTTGGAGTTGGCTTTGGGAACCAGACCGATCCCTTGCAGTTGAGCGCCACAACAGTATAGCTGACGGTCGCAGCGAAGGAGGGGCCCTTTCAAGAAGGCGGCTGTTAATGTCGAGTCAAATGTCAGAGCGTTCAGAAAGTATTACCTGGACGAGCCCCACACTACAATAAATTGATCCGATCGAGCCTCGAAGGGTCAACGGCCCAAGATGGGAAAACTTCATTCTGGTTTACATATGACGGCGTTAACTCAATTGAAGAGATCGACGCTTCAGCTGGATATGCCAACTTACGAGTTTGGGATTCCTGTGCAGCACACGACGATTCAGTACCATGGTTCAAACGGGCATCGGCTGCTCTCATCGCCAATGATAACACACCAACACGATGTGCGAGCCATGCAACAATCCATCTTACCAGTTGTTCCAGAGGTGCACTGGATGGTGACAAAGTCGTCGAGAGCCTCACAGAGCTCGAGCGATGGAGCAGGGACCTCGCTGAGCATCGGGAAAGTGCCACCGTCCACCAACGTCACTCCTATGGTGCGGCCAGGCTTGGTGTAGTGGTGAAGGATGTACTTGACCGAGTGTCTGTTGGGTGCCATGGTGGTCGAGAGTGTGTCAGTTCCAGGCTTTGTCGATCGTGGGCCAGTCTCCCACTCTGTCGACTCCACCCACAATCGGACTGCCTCCTTGACTCATCGCTGCTGATGCTATACCTCGCACAGATGGCCTTGCGGACAGCCGATGGCCAGTTGAGACCAAAGTTGAGGGTTTTCCTGTCGGTGGATACGTGGGTGAGTCAGCCACGGCTGTTACTTGTCATCCCTGGAGGGAGGACTCACTCACAGCACATTCCACAGCCAATCCTTCTGACCCTGGACTGGTGGCAGCGACATCCACAGCCAGGACCATGCAACAGACAGATCGAATCACGGCATCTGGGCCGATACTCACTTGCCCAGCATCCACACGGCGAGCGAGAAGAACACCCAGTGCGCCTCGCCTTCGCAGAAGGTGCCGACGGCATCGTGGCCATCGTCGTTCCAGCCAGGAAGCGCCTTGAGAGCCTGGGCGATTGAGTATGCATGTTTCCACACATCGCGGTATGAGTAGCGCACAGACTCGCCGCTCTCGTAGGTGTTGATGCAGAGGGCATCGGGCTCGTCGCGGGCCATCCGGATGAAGGCTTCGACCGGATGGACCCAAGGGTCGAAGGGGTCGGCGGGTGGAACAGGATTGGGCTTGGTCCTGGGCATATCGCCAAACGAAGGATCATCCTCGTCCTGCGACGAGAAACAGCACATCAGCGACCGGAGGGCCATCTTTGAGTGTATCGGCACCCACGACGGAGCGACAGCAGCAAGACCGAAGCGATGGAGCAGACAGGGGCGACGAAGGAGGCCGGCTGGCCTGTTCATATATTCCTGGCTCCTTCTCCTGCCGGACCACACCGACAGTTGCTCTCAGCACAAGACCATCGACACAGCCGCAAGCAGCATTACATCACACCCACTCTCGGCTGTGCTGCTCAGTCGGTCTGCATTTGGCAGCCTCTGTCCTTCCTCTGTGGCCTGGGTGTGGCTGGTTGTGGCTGGTTGTGGGGGATATTGCACAGCTCTCCTTGCTGGCCATGCGGAAAGGCGTCGGTGCCACCTGCATCTCACCACTCAATCGATAGGCCCGATTGTACGACGTTGAGTGATCTGGGTGAGCCAAATGCACCTTGTCCATGGTACTCTCACCTTGACGATGTTCGTGACCATATGAGTTCTGCTCGTCCCTCGGCAATCCGCAACCTTGACCATCCCCAGATCTCTCAGTCATCCTCTTGCACCCCAATGAAAGCCGAGGAAGCTCGAAGACCCAGCGACCAGGGTCGAATACCAGGCGGCTTTTGACGATGCCCGACACCCCACACTGCAAGAGATCGGAGCAGGCCTTGCGCCTCTCGGCTGGCTCGCAATACCCAATCAGCGAGATGGAGGCCCAATATACGATCGATAACCCAGGAACTCCTTGACGAATGCATATTCAGCTTTGTCCACGTTTCAATCCCACTCACCCATGATGACCGTGTCTATTCCCTCGTCTTCGCTGTTGATTGAACTTGCGTGGTATATATCGCCCGCTGAGCCGAATGGAGCTGAGAGGAAGTGACTGATGTATTCAAGTCGGCGAAGCGGCAGCAACACTACTCGATCGTCACCGTACTATGCCGATCCACATCTTCCTAACAACCAACACTAGCTCGAGCTGTCACTTGATCCAATCCCCTTGCCCAGTTCGATAGAGAAGGATTTCATCTGCTGAAGGTATGGATGATCGGGAACACGCTCGAGAAGGATATCAATGGCTTTGGTTGTGGAATCCCGAGCAGCATCAAACTGCTTCCTGGATCTTTGAATGGTTGCAATGCCATGGAGAGCTTGAGGAATGATGATTGGGTTTGAAGGTCGTGACAGTCGCTTCACCATAAACATGGCATCGTTATAGAGGATGAGGGCATCATCATGGCTGCCTTGGAGTCGACGAAGATCGCCAAGCCAACACAGTGCATGGGCAACAGAGGCATTATCGGTCGTGGAGTGGATGGCTCTGAGAAGCTCGAGTGATTTCTCGAGTTTGGACTGGGCATCGTCGAGCTGGCCAAGATGGATCAGGTCTGCACCACAGCCAACGAGGAATTCGGCCTCTTGAGCTCCTGTTGGGTCGTTTGAGATTCTCGTGGCAATATCGAGGGCCTCTATGTGGTATTCGAGTGCTTTGGCGAAGTCAGATTGAAGAAAGTGAATCCATCCAAACTCATCAAGGATGCCAGCCACCGAGGAGTGTTCACGAGTACCATAGAGTTCAAGGTAGATGTCAAGGCATTGATTGGCATAATGGAGAGCCTGGGTGGGACGACCCAAGAGTCTTGAAATGTAGCACATGCTGTTCAGGATCTGTCCAATATGGGCACATTCAAGAGTACCACCAATCTTTATGGCGACATCAACTGACTCTTGAAAGAAGACAAGTGCATCGTCCAGGTGGCCTTGGTCACTCGCCAAGAAACCCATGTTACCAAGTATCCGGGCAACATCAGGATGCTCGCGTGTGCCACATATCTTGACCTTGATATCAAGTGACTCTTGGTAGAAGGCAAGGGCTTCGTCCAAGCGTCCTTGATCACTTGCCACCGCACCCATATTGTTGAGGGTTGTGGCAATATCGGGATGCTCGCGAGTGCCAAACACCTTGACCTTGATATCAAGTGACTCTTTGTAGAAGGTGAGTGCATTGTCCAGGTGTCCTTGAGATTTTGTCACATTACCCATGTTGTTGAGGGTTGCGGCAATATCGGGATGCTCGCGAGTGCCAAACACCTTGACCTTGATATCAAGTGACTCTTGGTAGAAGGCAAGGGCTTCGTCCAAGCGTCCTTGATCACTTGCCACCGCACCCATATTGTTGAGGGTTGCGGCAATATCGGGATGCTCGCGAGTGCCAAACACCTTGACCTTGATATCAAGTGACTCTTGGTAGAAGGTGAGTGCATTGTCCAGGTGTCCTTGAGATTTTGTCACATTACCCATGTTGTTGAGGGTTGCGGCAATATCGGGATGCTCGCGAGTGCCAAACACCTTGACCTTGATATCAAGTGACTCTTGGTAGAAGGCAAGGGCTTCGTCCAAGCGTCCTTGATCACTTGCCACCGCACCCATATTGTTGAGGGTTGCGGCAATATCGGGATGCTCGCGAGTGCCAAACACCTTGACCCTGATATCAAGTGCCTCTTGGAAGAAGGCAAGGGCTTCATTCAGGCGCCCTTGATCACTCGCCATACTACCCATATTTTGGAGGGTCTGAGCTACAACGGGATGCTCGCGAGTGCCAAACACCTTGACCTTGATACTGAGTGCCTCTTGGAAGAAGGCAAGTGCTTCGTCCAGGCGTCCTTGATCATTTGTCGCTAAGCCCATGTTGTTAATAGTCAAAGCAACATCAGGATGCTCGCGAGTACCATAGACTTTGACCTTGATATTGAGTGCCTCTTGGAAGAAGGCAAGTGCTTCGTCCAGGCGTCCTTGAGATCTTCTCAATAAACCCATGTTGTTGAGGGTTTGAGCAACAGCGGGATGCTCGCGAGTACCATAGACTTTGACCTTGATATTGAGTGCCTCTTGGAAGAAGGCAAGTGCTTCGTCCAGGCGTCCTTGATCATTTGTCGCTAAGCCCATGTTGTTAATGGTCAAAGCAACTCCAGGATGCTCGCGAGTACCATAGACTTTGACCTTGATATTGAGTGCCTCTTGGAAGAAGGCAAGTGCTTCGTTCAGATGCCCTTGGGAATTGGCCACAGTACCCATGTTATTGAGGATTCCGGCAACGCCCGGATGTTCGCTGGTGCCATAGAACACCTTACTTCGCTCCAAGTTCCTTCTGAGCGTTTCCATTGCTTTGATGGAGAAAGGTTTTTCTTGTGCCAGTCTGGCGACTTGGAACTCTACTCGCGCATGCAGCCCCTTGGTGTACACTTCTGGCACTATCCTTTCAACATAACGGTCAAGATGCTCCGCAAATGATTGTGCCTTGATATCCATCGACTCGGCTAACTCGAGCAACACTTCACCAGTTGCATCTTCGATACTTTCGGCATTCAGTTCACTGTGTGCTTGGACATACTCTCGAGCCACTTGCTGGGTGAGCGAGTGGGTCGAGTACTGTCCCTCGGCTCCACTTCGGAGGAGACCACTCTGGACCACCATCTTGATCAGATCGGCCACTGTGGACAGATGAATGATCAGTTCCATACACTGACACCATTGATTGCACTTTGATCCACTCGCAACTCACCATCGGTCTTGAGTTCCAACTGCTCTGCAATCTCATTGATCAACTCGAGCTGGATGTTGGCCGGCGCCACCAGACTGAGTGCTCCAAACAGCCTGGCTGCCTCGATACCTTCATTCCCTCGCTTCATCAGCGAGTCCAGCGACAGATCCACAATCACCTTGAGCGACGACCGCGTGTCGTCCTCGCCATCCTGCAGCTCCAATGCTCCTGCAAACGTGGCCTCGAGCACCGACAGGGGAGTGTCGTAGTTCTCGGCAAACGTCATGAATGTCTGGATGACGAGTGGATATCCACTGATCTTGGCCACAATGCTGTCGAGGGATTTCCTGGCCTCGTCCGACACAAGTCGCTGGACAATCATTGGCGATGACGACATGATATAGTCGAGTGTGGTGGTGTCGTCCCAGTTGACGAGACGGAGTGGATCGTGCTGGAAGCTCGGTGCCTTGGTCTCAAGAGCACTGGTGAATGCACCAGGAGGCAGCGAGGCCAGCCGGGTCGTCACCACCACATCGCCGCTGAACCCGACCGACTTGGAGTGCTCAAACACAGAGTCGACCACGTTGATGTCATCGACATTGTCGAGCACCAGGAGATAGCCGTGAGTGTTGGCGAGGAACCTCGAGGCATGTTCCTTGATCACATCGGGCTTGATGCCAGGGAACATGTCGATGAGTCCATCGATGGCAGTCGACTCGGTCGAGCAGTTGATCCAGAAGACCTGGCGGTACTGCGGCTTGATGCCGATGGTCTCGGCTTTGATGGCGATGAGGTCTTCCCTGTTGCTCGCATTCATAATGCCCATCATGAAGAACAGGATCTGGATGGCGAGGACGGACTTGCCCATGCCACCCATGCCGGAGATGACGGCGCGGCCAGTCAGGGTGAGTTGCTTGAGTAGGGTGTCGAGGTGGGCGGGATCGAATCGGAACTTGGAGTCGCAAAAGTATTTGCGATGGATGACCGTAATGAGATCCATGTTGGGTGGGATGGGATGGACGAGGTTGAGGAGGCGGTAGATTCGCTTGTGCATCTGGTCTGGACGGAAGCCAAAGGACTGGATGTGGTTCACTCTGCCGAGGGTCTGCTTGAGCGAGGCAAAAGCTGGGTCGTCGGGGAGAGACACCATGTACGGCAGGAAGGGAGTGAAGACATCGACACCATCCTTGGTTTCCTTGGTGGCGATTCCGAGGGGAAGGACAGGGAGGGAGCGTTTGGTATCCTTGAGGTCGAGGGCGGTCTTGATTTCGAGGACGACGTTGTCCTCTTGGCCATTCTTGACCTTGTTCTTCATCAAGTCCATTGAGCCCTTGCTTAGGAGCAGGAAGACAGCTTTACACTTGGGAAGGGCACTGATAGAACTGGCTTGAGGGTCGCTGGGATTGTTGAGGCAGTCGACATCGTGGAAGACGGAAAGGGTTTTGCCATATCGACGGAGGGCGACCGAGGTGAGCACCTCCTTCAGAGCCTGGACAGTTTCGGCATCAGTCTGGGCTTGGTATGAGAGGAACAGGTCGTGGTCGGTGCCGTGGGCAGGACAGGAATAGAGCTGGTTGCTGGTGGGTGTCAGCATGGCTGGACGGGGTTGTTGGTGGGAATGGAGCGGACGATGAAAGAGAGAGGCCTGTGGCAAAGGCGAGGGAAAGGGACCGCTTTTGCGGTGAACGGCCTTGTTCTGTATCCAACCGGTCTCTGGGCTGTGTTGCTGATTTGGAGGTGGAAATGGCCCTGATCCGGCCAACCCAGCCCAAAGGATCGATGCCCGAAACCCATCGAACGGGCTACGGTCAGTTCAAAACGGCACCGGCTCGCTCGCAAGCGGTACACTCCCCCGGACCACCACAGGTATCGATGTGATTGCCGATGCGACTGCCGAAGCGAACGTCACATGATCCCCTCGCTCTCAAACACCCATCCGTTGCCCCGCCACCCGTGTCGATCTCGTCTTTCTGTTCCCGTTTCCGCATACATCCTGCAAGGCACTGCAGATCACCATGGGCGACGAATGGGAAAAGCTCCGAGCAATGCTCCCCATGTCGTTTGGAGGCAAGAAGGCAGGCCCGCCCTCGTCCTCGGTCAAGCCCGAGGCGCCGCTCTCGAAACGAGACCAGCTCAAATCCAGCGAAGTGACCAGCAGGCTTCTGGACCCGATGAATCCAGCCAAAGCCAACCAGCAGTTCCGATCGAGCGCCAAGGACAAAGCACGCCCGGAGACTAGATCTCTGGATAGCTCGATCAGCCGATTGGCTGGCGATGCAGATGGAGGCGACGATGTTATCGGACCCATGCCCGCCAGTGACGACGGCCAAGAGGAGGAAGTGAGTGCCAACGCTTCGTTGAATTCCAAAGGCCAGGTACGCCAGGACAATGCCGAAAACGACGACGACGACGACGACGACAAAGATGATGATGGTGATGATGACGACGACAACAGCGATGATGCCGAGGCCGACGCTGGGCCTCGGCCGCTCGTGCCAATATCCAGCCACATCGCCCTCAAGAGTCACTCCAGAGTAAGACGAAACGACGAGTCTGCGCAAGTCGCTGATGTCCATACCACGCAACCTGCACGGCGGATAGCTGCTCCTTTTGCAGTCGCCCATAGCTCACACCAATTCTGCTTTTGTTGTGGCAATTCCTATCTCAAGCCTGTGACATCCATATCGCTGGATCCAGCTGGGTCGCGGCTGATTACGGGCGGGCGGGACTGCTGCGTCAAGTTCTGGGACTTTAACGGCATGGACAGCAACTTCCGCCCCTTCCGATCGATCGAACCGTGCGGCGGCAATCCGGTACGTCGCAGCGGCCAAACCACGGCTCCATGGCAGACAGCACAGGTGATGGCAAATCCAGCATCATCAAGCAAACTGCTGACTCGGTGTGCCATCTGCTCTATTCCAGATTCGCGATCTCCAATTCAGCGTTTCTGGCGACTCGTTCCTGGTTGCCTCATCGGCACCGCAAGTCAAGCTCTACGACCGCGATGGCAGCGAGCTGTGCGTGCTTCCCATGCTGTGGCAAATGACAAAGGCACATTGCTCTCGAGCGCAGATCTGACACTTCCTTCTCGACCTCCTTACTTGGCACAGCTCTGAATATGTCAAAGGCGACCCATACCTCCGTGATCTTCGAAACACAAAGTCAGTACCGCTCCTGGGGCTCTGGCAATTGGATCTATTGGATGATGTGTAGCTCGCTATCTGTAGGACTCGGCCAGATCCCCTCGAACGAGGTGTTTCTCCGGCGATATCTGACTCCCACCTGCTCTATCCTGTCTCCTGGAACGACAGGGGCCACATAGCGGGCCTGAGCTGTTGTCGATGGCATCCCTACGAGAAGGCCTATTTCCTGACGGCATCGCTGGACAGCACCATTCGGATCTGGGACGTGGAAAACAAGAGGCAGCAAAAGAGTGTCATCGTTGTGCGTTCCAAACAGCCTGGCGGCCGGACGCCCGTCACCGCGGCAGCATACAGCTACGACGGCAAGCTCATCGCTGGAGGTAGTGCAATGTCTGCTGCCTTGAAGAAGCCACACTGGACATTTGCTCCAGGGGATCGGTTCTGCGACAGCCTCGATGGTCCGATGGAATTCGGAAGAGAGGCGGGCTAATCCTGCGATATGTTTCTCTTGTAGCCGGTGAAGACGGATTCCTCCGTCTCTGGAACAACAACGGGAGCTTTTTGAAGCCAACACACGTGAGTGTCGTGGTTTCTGCGAGGGCTCGATAGATCCAGGGTCATTCGATTCCGAGGGCACAATATGAGCTTCCGACTTGGCATGGAGCCCGAGACGCTTGGCATGGATCGCTGGCGCTGCGATGTGCTCCCGACAGCAGCATCGACTCACAGATGTCTTGACATGGGGTGCCTCACGCACTGCAGGAAGTCGCCGCGCACACGCCGGGCAGCGCAACGAGCTGCATCAACTTCTCGCCCGATTCCCGGAACCTGCTCACGCGTGCAATGGACGACACAATCAAGCTCTGGGATCTCCGGAAGATGAGCGCTCCAGTGGCCGGTATCGCTGGCATCGTCAACTACTTTGAAGAGTCCAACGCCATCTTTTCGCCGGACGACGGCATCATCCTGGCGGGCCTATCCGCCAAGAAGAACGAGGGCGAGGCCAAGGTGCTGGGCCTCAACCGACAGACCCTGAACGTCGAGTTTTCGATCCCGTGCGGAACCGGCAGCATCCTGAGCGTGCAGTGGCATTCGCGCATCAACCAGCTCCTCACGGGGTCAAGCAACGGCGAAGTCCGAGTATTCTACGATGAGACGCACAGCACCCGGGGCGCCAAGATGTGTGCCAACCGCAAGGCAAAGAGCAGATCTGTCGAGGATGCCGCGATTGCGTATGTAGCTGCAGTTGTGCATCGACCTTGGCTAACGGGGTGGGGCGGGGCGGGTAGTTTGCGTGTGCACTTTCGGCAGACTTCCGACGCTGTCCCGAGAGAGGCTAACCTTTGCGTTATTTCGGACTCGGCTTCCCGTGACAGAATCGATCCAAAGTAGGTGGCTGGACGACGAGCACCGTCGTGTCTGTCAGAGGAGTTGCTGCGGCTGCTCCTCTGTTGCTCCACTTGATGCTGCCACTTTTGCTCGCTGAAAGCGCATCGATCCAGCACTGATGCCATGCTATTTTGCCCTAAACATGCAACATGCAACAGCGTCACCATCTACAACCCGAATTCCTTGGCCATGTTCCGGGAAGATGAGCAACGCATGACGAAGCGAAAGCGTGAGAGGATGCTCAAGGACCCTGTTCTGACTCGCAAGCCTGGTAGGCAATGTCCTTGCACTGCACGGTCCTCCCCCTGACGCTCGAGGA